ATAAAAATAAAAAAAATAAAAAAAAAAATATATATAACACCCCCCCCCCCCCCTTTCTCCCTTTTTTTTATAAGTTCCTTACTCAATTTCATATCTATTTATTCAAATTTTCTTTCTTTATTTCTTTTTTTTATTTACTACAACCATTTCACTATTTTTACTCACTCTTCATTTTTTTTTCTTATTATTATTTTACATTCTTCTCCTTATTTTAATCTACTACTACTTTTAACTTCATTCTCCATTCAATTTAACCCCTTCTTATAAATAGAGAGCCATTTTCTTTTTCTTTTTTCTTTTCATCTTATTATCCTCCCTTCTTATTTTATACTTTTTCCCCTCTTTCTTTTCTTATTCTTCGGCTTTGTGGCTGCTCGGGCCGACGCTGGGGATATTAGCTTTTCCTATTTCTTTTTTTGCTTTTATCCTCTCGTGTGCTTGTTCACAAAAATGGCTTTTTTTTTTTTTTTTTTTTTGCACAAATGGAAATTCTTCGAGCAAGATGAATATTCAGTAGATGATTTCCACGGAGACACGCCTATTCTAGACCGTGTTGTACAAGCCAAGATATCAGCTCAGCCCCTGAATACGGCGTGCAGTCGAGGAAAACAGGGGCATGTAAACAAACCCCTGAGGTGCTCATCGGCTATTGAAGCACAGAGTTGTGCTGCTCACAGCAACAGCCCACTGCTTTGCCAATCTTTCATATATACTTGCTTTTAACGATTATTCTCCAATTACTTCAATCTCACCATCTTCTCAACCTAGTACCCCTTTCATAGCCTACCTTAAGTACTCAAGTTTGGAATAATAGCCGGCGAATCAGCATGCGCTGGGGTGGCCAAACAAACCTTGTCTTTACCCGTCATGTTTGCTATTCACCCTCCTGTAATAAAGCCACGACCGGGCACCACCGCTCTTCATGATCAGCGGCGAAGAAGCAAAGGCCATGATAGAGGTCAATAGAGACTTGAACCTTCACATGACACTGCTTTCTCCGCCTCTAGGCTATGTCGATGCCTTCCTGTGATGTATTCTACCTACCTATTTAGCCATTCTCGAGATACCTTGGGGGCTTTCCTTCCTCAACCAACACGTCAGGTGCTTGCAACCCTGGCTCCAAGAAGTCGACTTCCATCGCTTCTACAAACCCCCGTGTTCATGTTTCCCGTTGGCCGCGGTGGACGATACACGACTAAAACCGTGTTCCGGTAGATGTATCATGTAGGCGTGGTCGGGGCCTCTCTTGACTCGGCCTCACAACACCGCTTTCAACCAGTCTAGCGCCCCGCAGTCCCAGTCCTTTGACATGCTCCATAGGTACCGTCCACCCACCATTTGGCTTGAGCGATACGCTATTCGCTCTCCGTCATGGGCCTTGGTGGCTAGCCAACCAAGCTCGGCTGAAGAAGCCACGAATGGGTGATCTTTTTCCGGACGCCAAGAGGGTGAAGACACGCTAGAGAAGCGTGTCCGGGAGATCTTCCGGATGATGGACTAGGATGATGGACTAGGATGAAGCACCAAGTCGGCGGAGAGAGAAATCATCGCTTATGCGAAAAAAAAAACAATATTTTGGTGAATGGTCTCGGAGAGAGGCACTGTAACCACTGGACTTAGGTAACCGGCAAGATACTTGTCAGGGCTTGATCTTGAAAGCCATGGTCAAGCGCCGATTTTGAAGGCCTGACAAGGGGCTTTTGGATTTATGAACTGGGCATTTCACACTACCTCTCATCTAACTTCCTTTGTGTCTGTTTTCTAGGTATTCTCACAGCTTTTCTTCTCTTTTTTCAGCTTGCACAGTATCATAAATGGAAATTCTTTCTAGAAATAAGTGCTCAACTTGACAACTGGTGTCCAAATCAGACTCAAAATGTTCATGTAACCCCCAAAGTCACCGGTAATGCCGTCCATGTGGTGATACAAAATATTCGATTCAACACCCCAAAAAAGAATCAAATCTTCCTAAACTTAACCCTCATCCCCCCAGCAGGAACATACCCCATCCCCGGGTTCGTCGTCCTCGGCTCCCTCCCCCCAAGCCCCTCCAACTCCTCCGTCATCCCAAACTCAAACCTGGTCACCAGCTCCACAACCAAAACCTTGAACTCAACCATGGCAAACTGCTTCCCTATGCATATCCTCGGCCCATGCATAAACGCCCCAAAAGCATAAGGGCTGTCCGCCTCCGTCCCTGCCAAATTCTCCCACCTCTCCGGCTTAAACTCGTCAACATCCTCCCCCCAAACCCAGGCCGTCCGTGAGGCCACCGCCGGGAGGAGAAGAAGTACGGTGCCCCTTGGGATAAAAGTGCCACAAATGGTAAGATCTTTCAGTGCCTCCCTAAACGTCATCAACGCAGGACAATACCGCCTGAGGATTTCCCTGCAAAAGTTGTGGAGATAAACAAGCGACTCGAGCTGCTCATAAGTCGGGGTTTTGCCAGCCTCGAAATGGGATGTGATTTCCCTGCGGAGACGCGTCTGTATGTCAGGGTGGACAGCCAAGACATAGCTCGCCCACAGGAGGGCATTAGCCGAGGTCTCATGCCCCGCCGCGATGAAGGTCAGCAGCTCGTTCGTGATTTGGTCTTCTGTCATTTTGTCGCCGGCTTTGCTGAGGGACATCTCCCCCTCTAGCATCATCGTGAGCAAGTCAGCTCCGTTGCTGACAGGGTTGCGATAGTCCGGTTGAGCCAGTTCTTTGACGCGGTTCTTGACAATGTCGAGGGTCATCCGGCGGAGTTGTGCCGAGGCGCGGAGGTAGCCTAGGTTGGCCTCGATGGGGAGGAAGCGGCGGATGGGGAGGAAGAGGTT